AAACCATTATACCCTGATTTCCCATTTTCAATGGGTTCAGGGTATAAAAATGTTACAAAACAAATAAAACTTGAATCTTAAAACAGAAAAAACCCTAAACTAAATCTGATCTTTAAGGCTTGTCCCAATAAGCTTTGCGTTTGTTAACCTTTGCTATAAATAATTTATTACACATTAATCTCAAAGCCACTTTAACTTTTAACAATTTGCTAAGCATCAGCTCCTGCTTATTGCTTAAAAATAAATCAAGTTGAAAGATCTAAAAACCGCATCAGACTTTGCTAAGCTTTTAAAATTCTTAAGCGCACAACATGACAATATAAAATACTTTATTAATATATTTCCTATTGCATAACATATATAAAATAATGTTGAATTTTAAAATAAACAAATAATAGTATTCCTATAATAATAATCGCAATTTCGTTCACTTCAGCCGCTGTTTCATCTGCTGCGCGTAGGCAAATGGCTGCTGCATACGGCGCTGTGGTATATTGTGCAACTGATGCGATTGGCGCCGGGCATATCGGCCCATTACAATGACGTCTATATGGATGCGAATGGCACCGAGCAGGAGCCCGAAGATCACGGCCAGACCAAGAATGCCGCCTGGCTGCGGCATTTGACGCTGCGACGCACGCGCCTCAAGTCGTGCGACATGCAGCGCGAGCTCTACACGCTCTACAATGAGAAGGACAACGTTGTCTACAATATGACAGCGCATGCATGCGAGCGGCCATTTGTGGTGCTGCCCATACCCAATAGCAATCTCATATTGCTCGTCATCGATCAGCTCTGTCCGCGCGACGTCGCCCTCGTGCTGACCGTCAATCCGGCGCCCATCAACTATCCGCTGGCGCCCAATGAGACCTTCTCCTGCTACAAGCATGCCAGGGAATTCAATCGAGTGCGTCCGCAGAGCTGCATCAGTCGTCATGCGAATGTAAGACAAACACATTCACTCTCCCTCTCTCTCTCTCCCTTTACCTCTTTCTTTCTGATAACGATCTCTCTTTCTTTGTGACAGGAGAGCGCGATCAAGCTGTGCGGCAAGGGTTGCACCCTCTATGCGAATCTCACGCTCCTGCTGCTGAGCCATGCGTTGAGTCGTTTGCTTTAACATTGATCGCAATGGATTTAGTTAATCATAGGCAATATATATTGATAATGTTTTTGTATTATATTATATATATACACCCACATATATATGATAATTATTAGGCATATTGGGAGGGGGGACGTTCGATTTTTTACTATATACTCATAAACGCTTAAGACGCTGTTCATTTTTTCCACCATTTGGTTTTGTTGTATGTCGAGCTAGTTTTAAGGCTAAGTTAGCTACCGAATTTGTTTTCAAGTCGTGTCTTGAGTTTTATGTTAACTATGAAAGTGTGACAGTGTGTGCTGCCTATGTGTGGACGGGTCGCTGCGCTTTATTGTAGACCTTCCAATAGACAAGAAAATTTATTAAATAGCAAATACACTACAAATTCCAACAACGGCCTTAAACTCGCAAACAAAATTTAAATGAAATACGAACAAAATATATATACTTATATATTAAATTAAATTAAATTTTGTAAATGTCGCTCGCTGTTATAAAAAATATAAAAATAAATAAAAATAGGCAAAGAAAATGCGCACACTGTTCCATATAAAACTACTGCCCATGTTAAGTGTGTGAGAGAGCGCGTAAATGTGTGCATGTGTGTATGTGTGTGTGTTGATACCTAATTTAAGATGGCCACATTTGTAAGTAACACTTAGCTAATTATTATGTTGAAGAATGGAACAAGAATACCTATGGATAAACCTACAAAGTAATAAAACCAAAATTATTAATTAACCATATGAATATATATACATACATAGATACATACGCCAGGTACATGCTATACGTTTAAGTAGCTTTTGTATATTTGCTTAGCTTAGCCCAGAACAACTAAAACTAAAAAGTAAAAAAAAACCAAAACCAAATACCAAAAGCCATTTAAGAGTTTGGCTTTACGAAGCATTAAATACTTTTATAAACATTCGTTACGGATCTAACGTGAAAGCCACAAAGATTGTGGGCATAGAAAAACAAGAAGAGAATGAAAGAAAATCGAGAACTTTTTGTTATTTTTTTTTTTTTTTTTATATAAAGCATACATGCAAGAGTAATAATAATTTGATTAACTTCGATAATACTGATTGATACCTAGCCTAACCCACAAGTACCTATTATAACAACTTTTTATTACATACTACTACTATCTACTTGATACGAGCTACGAGCCACAGAACTGAGCAGAAGCAGCAGCGCTTAGTAAATTTAGATTAAATAACAACAAAAAGAAAGAAAGAAAAACAGAAAATTTAAACAACAAACAATTAATCTAATACTAATATTAAATTTATTATTGACTAGTTGAAATTTACAAAAACTCATAACCGAAACTTTTCAGCATTTAGGAAGAAAACAAAAAATAAATAAATACATAAATTACTTCAGAGGATAAATCTAATAAAATTTCACGCCCATAGCTTCTTGACATGCTCCGAAATTTTGTAGTACCCGTGTACCTACTCTTGTGCCATTCGACTGCCTAGAATTTGTTATTTACTCTTTAATCTTAGCCCTCTTCACTCTGTTAATTTGTTTAGAGCCCTAAATAAACATAATTTTCCCATTTCCCCTGTTAACTTAAGTCTTATTAAAATTCGCATAAACTTCTATACAACTCTAGAGAAATTATTAAATGTAGTCAAGCCAAGCAAGGTCTCTTGAGAAGAACTCTTTTCATATAGAGAGAACAAACTCTAATAATAAACAAATAAATAATACAATTTTGTATCCAGTTTAGCTTTTCCAAAGCAGCGCCGAAGCTGGGCACAAAACAAATTTCGACCTCGATGAGAGATAAAAACTTCCTTTCAAACACTCACTAATCACTGCAATTTGTATTAAACATAATTTAAAGCCACACTAAATACATGAACTTTATGTATTAATTAAGCATATATTAACATTAAATAAATGAAAATAAATGCATAAACTTGTCAGAAATGCAAAAAGATAAAAAAAAAATCAAATTTTGTTGTTTTACTTATCGAATATATTTCAGGGCGGGCTTTATGTGGGCTTTGTGTGAATAATATATTACGAACAGTTAATTACTTGATTATTTATTTATATAAGCAATTAAACAAAGAATAGGTTACAAAAATGATTCATTGTACTGGTATATAAAAACCTTATAAATCTTCTCTGCTCCAGTTTCCTTTCGAATTTCAAGTGAGGCGAATAGAAAGGTTTAAGAGTTTCAGTTAAAAATGCAATTCGCGGGCTACTCGGTCATTAAGGCTGTGATACTGTGTAGTAAGTCATAAACACAATAAGTAACAAGTAAGAACGTTGCAGTCGGGCGCTACCGACTGCGGAATACTCATTCACAGTCC